TGTTAATAGAATAAAGTGTAATAGTGTGTTTATAAATTTTGTTCTGTTGCCATTAAATTTATTTGTCTGTGCCGTTATTTGCTCGAGTGCTTCATTTATTTCAAAAATGGATAAGGACCAAAGGTACGTACAATTTTTTGACAAGGCATGGGAAGAAATTTTTTTTTCTTCGATTAATAATAAAACCACCTGTCTTCTGTGTGGTTATCAACCCTCTCTTATAAAAAAATATATCCTTCATAGACGTTATAAAGTTAAACATTCAAATGAGTATTCGCAATATGTGGATGAGGAGAAATTTAACTTAATTGAAGGTTTAAAATTAATTTATCAAGAAGGTCGTAGTCCGAATTCTGATACCGTCAATGCTACACCTTCGGCAAACGCTCTTACAGCATCGTATGCAATTTCAAATCTTATCGCGAAAAATACCAAGCCGTTTTGTGAAGGGAAATTTGTAAAAGAATGCCTCATCGCAGCAGTAGAGTCGTTTGGAAATTCACTGACTCTTGAAGAAGCTGCTAGCATTCCTTTAAGTGATAAAACAGTAAAGTCCCGAATTATTGATATTGCTTCTTCCTTAGAAAGAAAATTAAAATCTCTATTAGAATCTTGTCGGTTCTTTTCTTTGTGTCTTGATGAGAGCACCGATAATCGACATATAAGTCAATTGAGTATTTTTGCTCGAATCGTGCAAAACGATTTTTCGTATGTCGAGGAGCTCTTAGATTTTGTTCCACTACATGATACAACAACGGGTCTCGATATTTTTAAAGCTGTAAACCAAAGTCTTGAAAAATTTGGCATTGATTTCTCTAAATGTTCAGCTATCGTCACTGATGGCGCAAGAGCAATGATAGGTTCGAAAAATGGATTCTCCGGTCAAGTAAAGCAGCGAGGTTTTAAGTTCCCTGTCATTCATTGCATAATCCATCAAGAAGCGTTATGTGGGAAAGTTGTAAAACTATGCACCGCAATGCAAACCGTCACCAAAATTATTAATACAATTAAGGGCGGACACAAATTCCTTTCACATCGAAAGTTTCAACACTTTCTCGAGGAACATAACGCAACTTATACAGATGTGCCTTTATATTGTGAAGTTCGGTGGCTCAGTGCAGGAAAATGTTTACAAAAGTTCTTTGCTATAAGAAAAGAGATCTTCCTTTTCTTGCAAGACAAATTTTCTGCAAAATGTGATGAATTTGAAAAATTTAAAATATTCTTCGAAGATTTGGACTCGCTTTGCGAGCTTGCTTTTATAACAGATATAACAAACCATTTAAATACTCTAAATCTAAAGCTGCAAAAGACCGATCAAACAATTTCGCAGTCAGTTTGTCATATTGATTCTTTTCGCAGAAAACTGCTATTGTTTAAAAATCAACTCGATAATATTCTTAACTTTTTTCCCTCTTGCCAGATTCTCTTTGAAGAACACGGCACAAATTGTAATTTTAAAACACAAATTAGTATAATTGCTTCTCTCATTAGTCAATTTGATACACGCTTCAGTGATTTCGAAACTTTACGAAAAGATTTAATTCTTTTTGAGAATCCTCTCACTGTGCAAATCGAGGAACAAAGCCTAGAATTTCAGGCAGAACTTTGCGATTTGCAATGTGATCTTTCTCTGAAGACACGTTTAGAAAAGGGAGTCGAATTTTTCAAGATTATGGATGAATCGTGTTATCCACAACTTAGAAATTTCGGTCTTAAAATTTTCTCCATGTTTGGATCCACATATTTATGCGAATGCTCTTTCTCTAAAATGAAGTTTGTCAAAACAGAAAAACGATCTTCTTTGAACAATGCATCATTATCCTCACTGATGCGAACTAATGTTGTAACGCGACAACAAAGAGCAACGTTGCTCCCCACCCTGCGCTCTTCCCCTGTCTCGTTTCTAACCCCCGCGCCCACGAACTGAGGGTATAAAAGAGCCCGAGCGAACCGGGAGAATCAGAATCCTCCGACCAGCGAACTGAGCAGGTCGTCTCCCCGGAGAAGGCGTACTGAGCCGGACCCGGTAACCCCGAACCGCGCACTGAGCGGAATCACCTAACCTAGCACGGCACGAGCTGAGTGCCTACCTTAGGCCGCGTATTGAGCGACCGCTTCCTCTCGTCCGAAGCACGAGTTGAGTGCTGACTCCACCACGGCTAGATGCGTGATGAGCACTAACCGATGAAATAATCCGCGAACTGAGCGGCACCGATAACACACCGACCTAACCTCCCGTTCCATGCACACACGCCGCGAGCTGTCACCGGCAGCCACGACGCGCGCCGCGACCGCCGAACCGCGCCTGCGCTAACCGTGCGAACGAACCGAGCGTACCGCGCCCGCGCCGCCGAACACCGATACCGAACGGACCGCACTCGCGCCGCCGAGACCGAACGGACCCGTATTCCGATCCGCGAATCACACAGTCGTGAATTATCAGCAGCGCCGCGCGCCAGCAATTAAGTACAAAAGATCGCCGCCGAAGCGGACTTATATTTTTAAGCGATTAGTATTAAGTATTGCGAGCGATAGTTTTAAGAGATAGTTGTAAGCACATAGAATTAGAATAAACTAGTCTTTACTGAAATTATAAGTCTCATCCTTCACTCTTTGACCAGCCCACCGACCGAACCTTGGAATCTCAAAGCTATCCGTAGCCCAAAAATTCCAACGTTACAAATGGCGCCCGAACAGGGACTCGAAGAGTGAAAGGCCGACGGTTGCGAACAGTAGAAGACTAGGGCGCTATAGGAAAGAATTTGTAAAACACGGCCGACATGGCAACACCGACACCTACCGAGTGGGTGCACGCCCTCTCAAAGGAGGAGTTAGTCAAGGCGCTGCAAGAGCGCGAACTGCCGACCGACGGCAAGCGCGACGATCTACGCGCCCGGCTCCTGCAAAGCGTACGGCAGGCACGAAAGTCCCCGCTCCCTGATTCCGAGGACGATAGCCAGGACGACCAGGACGACGAGATAGACCGAAAGACCGGCCGGACATCGCTACGACCAAAGAGCACGAAGGGACTGGCCGAGACCGCGGCTATCCTAGACACCGTCCGAAAATGGGGCTGTCAATTCGACGGGAAAGACGGGATCGCCTTCCTCGAGCGGCTGGAGGACCTACGCACCAGCTATGGGATGACACGGGAACAATTGCGACCGTGCCTCCCACTCCTGTTCAAAGACTCCACCCTCCTCTGGTACCGGAATAACCGGGACGATTGGCAGAGCTGGCGAGATTTTGAGGACTGTTTCAGGCAATTCTACGCCCCGACGAAATCACGGTTCAAGTTGGAGGAGGCCATCGCCGGACGCAAACAGGAGCCAGGGGAGAACGCTCGAGAATACACCACCGCGCTACAGACGCTAATGAGGCGACACGGAAACATGCGACCAGCCGACCGCCTGGAGAGGACGTACCACAATCTAAGACCGGAATACCACCTCTACATCAGGCGAAGCGATTTCCAGACGATGGCCGAGTTATTACAGAGGACCGACGAATACGAATAGGCCCGGCGCTACGAAAAAGCGTACCAGGCTCCCGCCAAAAATATCAAGCCGCGGGGTAACTCCGACGCCTACACCGCGACCATTTCACCGGGATACAACCCTCGCGACTGTTGCTGGGGTTGCGGACAGCGAGGACACGTTCGACGCTACTGCCGACGGCCATCGAAACTATTCTGCTCCCAGTGCGGGAAAGAAGGGATTCTCACACGGGACTGTCACGGAACACAGTCGGGAAACTCGCTAGGGGCCGAGGGAAAGAAGGGCAATCCCCGGCCCACCGAAGAACCAGGGACCAGCGACGCCTCCTAAAACGCTATCTGCCCAGCATCAACCCCGACCACGACCGCACCGACCCTCGACCGATGGGCCACATTCAGATACTAGAAGGAAGATACAACGCACTGCTGGACTGCGGAGCAGTGCTCTCCTACCTCTCGGCCGACGTAGCCGACCGAATACGACACCGAGGACGCAGCCGCCGCATCACGACCGCCGTGCACCTAGCCAATGGTCAGGTCAGCCCGATTAACGAAGAAATCAAAATCGAAGTAGAATTGGGACGATACCGAGGAACACACACATTCCACGTCCTCCCCGGTCTCACAGTAGACGTGATCGCGGGGATGCACCTACTTAACAAAGCCGGATTCCACTGGACACTACCCGGAATCGCCGCCCTCCGACCGACCGACGGAGGCGAACGAGAAAACGGACTGACCGAGTGCTCGCCAGAGCAGCAGGGCCGACTAAACGAGCTGCTAGCAGAACTACTACCGAAGTTCGAACTGACGAACAAAACGACACAGATGACGGAGCACCGGATCCGCCTCCGCACCGGACAAGAACCAATACGCCAGAGATACCGAACCTACAACCCGGCGATGCAGGAGATTATCGACACCGAAATAGACAAAATGCTGAGCGAGGGATGCATCGAGCCGACCAGCAGCCCCTGGAACTCCGGAATAGTGCTAGCCCGGAAGAAAGACGGTCGATATCGTTTCTGCATCGATTTCCGCAAGGTAAACGAAGTCACAGAGAAAGACGCGTACCCACTACCACCGGTCCAACACATTCTGGACCAACTCCGCGACGCACGGTACCTATCGACGATCGACCTCCGGAATGGGTACTGGCAAGTACCATTACACGCGGACAGTAGACCACTCACCGCATTCGCAATCCCCGGACGGGGGCAATTTCGCTTTAAGGTAATGCCCTTCGGGCTACACGCCGCGCCGGCCACTTTCCAGCGGCTACTCGACCGAATCATCGGACCGGATATGGAGCCTCGGGCGTTCGCGTATCTCGACGACATAGTCGTACTAGGCCGGACATTCGACGAGCATCTCCACAACTTACGAGAAGTCTTGCAGCGACTACTGGACGCCAACCTACGGATCAACAGAGAAAAGTGTCAGTTTGGTAGAACGAGCCTACGATACTT